TATATAATTTTTATCAAAATAATAATCTAATTATATAACTATAATCTAAAATCCATTTTTAAACATTAAAATTCATACATGTGTGCCAGCCTTCTGATCGATGAGCAGCCTAATTTTTTCTAAATCATCAGGTAGCTCCTGATGATTTTTCCTATCAGTCGACCACCTATTCAAGAAAAAAAATATTATTATACGCTATATAAAATGATTAATATACGAAATCAGTTTTATAATTACCTCAAGAGTAACGGAAATACGAATGGATTCTTCACAACGGGACATAAAAAGGGCAATCAATACCATGCCCAAGACTTCAGCAGGAGAAGACATCCGCCGATAGCATTACGCCTGTAGTCAGTGGCTCGACACATCTCCCTGTACAAAAAAACCAAAACTGTCGAGCCCCAACTGAGTGATCCGACCAGAAGAAAGTCGACAAGATGTCACAACCATATACAGTGAATTTGGTTGCGCAATTTGTCTGGCATCAACAACCCTCCTATCAGCTGCAGTATGCATGCTCGTGCATACATTTTAACTTTATCATCTGACGCGTTCTCGCTCAACTCCCGAAAATTGGCATCTAACCAATTTAACGGTATCCTACCACCGTTAAAACTTGCCGGGACACGTCCTAGATTATCCCGACATAAAATAGTCCAAGAACCCTGTGTGATCCCCGATATCACATCTCCATCCACCGAAAGCCCCAGGTGTATAGCAACATCCTCAAGTGTAATCGTGCACTCTCCGCACGGAATATGGAATGTGTGGGTCTCCGGCCTCCACCGCTCTACTAAGGTAGAAATAAGGTCTGGTTCTATCTTACAGTGACCCTAATATCTACCTATGTAACCGAATACAGCCTCTACTAAATATGGCAAGACACAGCTAGGTATCACTAACTTAAGATTCCTAATGAATAGATCTAATACACGGTCATTCTCCTAAAATTAAATAATTACAAAAATTAATTCTTAATCTAATAATCATGCATTAAATAAATCAACAAATAATTACTAATAATTTAAATAAAATTAAAACGTTAAAATGTTACCGTATCAGCAAAGTGTCGAGATATATGATTTCCATCCAAGCTAAGTAGATCGTGTTCCATTTTATATCAGCAAAAAAATTAATTAAATAAAATATTAAATAAATTAAATACAAAATATTAAAAATATAATAAAATATACCTTAGACAGAGATTATAAGAGTATTTGAGAGAAGTTGAGAGAATTTGGTGTGATGAAAGTGATTGAGGATGTGATATTTATAGGGAGGGATAGGGGGTGAAACGTCGGGGTAGGTGGGTAATTATACCCAAGGCGCGCCGCAGGGGGCACGCCTTACTGACACGTGGCAGATTCTGGGGTAAGGCGCGACCCCTGCACCGCACTATACCCCCTGTACACACATGTATACCATGTCAGCATAAGACGCGCTTCAGGGGGCGTCTTACCCCACGTGACACTAAATCAACGTAAAACGCGTTGTAGGGATCGCACCTTTTTGCAAAGGGTGTTAGATCGAAAAATATAGTCTGAACGGTGATTAATCGAGAAATATATTGTTTAACGGTGATATATCGGGAAAATCGCCTATATTTAACGGGTTTATATTTAATATATCGACAAATATAATTATTAATGAATTTTTAAAACATCAGCTATTTAAAAAAAATAAACACAACCTGCAACTACTATTACCTTGTTACTATTTAATTAAATTTCAACAAGAATTTTAATTTGATTAATTTAAAAACCTTGGCTTGCAATTTTTAATTAAGTTGGGGCCAATCTTATTTAAAGTAGATTTTTAATTATATAAATTTGAACTGAATAATAATTATATAAGCATTTTGTTTTTTGGACTCCTATTATTATTATAATAATAATAATATATGGTGGTTTATGATTGTGGAACTTAGCCCCCTTTCCTAGATTATATAATTAGATTTTTGGATAGATTATATATTTAGTTATCTATTTTTTTTGCAATTCCGTTTTAATCACCAAATTATTATTTTTTTCAAACTCGTTCATAATATTATGTTTTGGTTCCATTTTGGTCATCCGTCATTAAAAAATTAATAATGATATTGACGTGTTATCATAAGGTAATGCCACACCATCATTAAAAATTTTTTTTACCACGTCAATAATATTTTTTAATGGCAGATGATCATAATTGAACAAAAATATAACTTTACCAATGATTTTAAAAAATAAATAGTTGAGTGACCAAAACAAAATCACATTAATAGTTGAGTGACTATATATAGTATATCTTAAACTTTTTATGCTGATTATAAGAAGTAAACTGCTTTAAATAAGTTAATGAAAATGACGTGCTCATTTGATTAACGTAAATAATTTTCTTTACTAGATTATATACTAATATTTTGCATTCCATTTGGCATCATCAAAATTACTATACGTTTGAATAAGAAATATTTATTATTATTATTATTGATTTAGTAAAAAAACACTAAATGTTTATGTTAGATTATTGATGTAGTATTCCGAAATAAAAAATACTATATATCAACTTGACATTCATGTAACCCAATAAAATATCATTGTAATATACTCAAGTTTAATATAATAATTTTAACGAATTTTATAAAGATTATTATTTGATGTATATTATAAACAAAATTTATATTATATAAGTTATCTATTGTAATCTTAAGTCCTCAAATTTAAAACTAAAATTCTTACACCCCAAACTTTAAATTTTAAACACTAAAGTCTAAACTTAAATTCTTACCTCCAAATATTAAACTCCCAATAAGACCCGTAAATTTTAAACTACGTGTTTATATAAATTCAACTTCACACAATTTGTGCATCAGATAATTTTACTTTTTATAATAATATTTTAAGTTTTAAATAAAAACATATATAAATTAAAATTTTAAAAATACAAAATGATAGAATTAGTTCCTAATATATGCACAAATGATCACTTTACCTATTTTCTTTTTTTAGCATTTTAGTCTCTAACATTTTATTTTTAATCAAAATATCGTTTATTAGATGAAAATTATTCGTTGACTAACTATCAACACATATTACTGATGTGACATTTTTATATATTTTTAATTAATTACAAGACATAGATCATGTCACTAAAGTGATGATGTGACATGTGTCACGTTACTTAAAATAACGACATTATGTCATCATGTTAGATGATGTAATACATGTTACGTCACTCAACATGATGTCATGATGACATGACTTGCGTCACGTAATCTAAATTGATGACATGATATATGTTATATCATCTAAAGTTGTATGTGGTATATGTTACTTCACTTAAAGTAATGTTATAATACATATCACATTAATAATATGTGTTGAACATTGGTTAACTAACAGTTTTTATCCAACCAGATCTATTTTAACTAAATTTAAAACATTAAAAGCTAAAACATTTTTTAAAAAAATATATAAGATAAAATAATCATTTACACAAACGTTAATTTTATCATTATGTGAACTTTGAAACGAAGAGTATGAAATCTCAGAAGAGGTTATAACTTTTGTTCTAACATTATTTATTCTCTCTTTCGTGATCCACCGGATTTAGGTGACAATGCAAATCATCAATCAACCTACATTGATAAACTTATTAAAGTATAAATCAAGCAAATAATGTAGCGATAAATGGTCAATAATATACCCATTGAACGAGACAAGCCAAAAAGAACATGTTCCCCAACCCTGCATCAGTCTTTTTTTCTTCTTCTTTACGTTCCATCAGTTGGCTTGTTCAGAGAAAGCAAAAGTGGAAATTGTTGTTTATAGACCCCCGATATTTGAAAACGGTTCTCGATGGCCATGTGATTAGATGACCATACACCAGCCTATGATATGATAATATGGTCAGAAAATATTTGGTATCGTCATTGCTCATAATGTGTCAAAATCTTTTAGGACTTTTGGGGGCTTACTATAAATGGACTAGACCAGTCACATATTAGTTTCTTTACCCTTTGATGCACGTGCTAGTTTAAGTTAGCTAACCAATTTTAGACGTGTCTTTTCTGATAGGGTCCCTCGGATCCTGTTGGATAATATTTCCCATGTGATATGCTCCCACATAACCCCATATTTCCATAATATTTGTTTTGGTTTTGTTGCACTACAGCCACCTTGGTTTGTTTGACAGATGGGATTATTCTGAATAGGTGTCAAAGTTATACTTGTCGATGAAAAAAATTGGGTTACAAAGTCGTAGATAGTTTATTTCTTTTGATTTGGATGAAAAGTCGTAGTCAATAGTTCTATGAAGAATGTCGAATTTAAAACGATGAAAAATATAAAACTGAGGAGAAAAAAAAAGGAATTTTGCTTCTCTAAATTTACATGAGAGTTTATATACCAACTCTTAGTGGTGTTAAGTCTAAAATCATAATAACTGTTCATAGGCCAATTGAGTAAATAAATATGGCTGTTAGTTAACATATTTAATTCCAAGCAATCACAGAATCAGAAATTATCAATTATCATGTCAAACGAGGACATCTGATCAGAGAATGTAAAATTCTGAACTTTGTACAATGGAAAAAAATTCTTTTGAAGGTTTCGTTACTCCTAAAACCCTAATTAGCAGAGGAGATACAATAATATTTACAAATAATTATAACCAGTTTAAAATTTTATTTCTCGGCCTCTAACAGGTCACTAAAAGCAAAGAATAATTGAAAGGACCACAAAAATTAAAGAGTTTACCCTTGATGAAAATTAAGCTAATATTTCAAGACATTTCTTAATCATACGATATCTCTTAAGAAATATCTTAGAACATGAATTTATCTATCAAACATAAGAAATATTTAAATATTTTACAACTTAAGTTTATCTATCAAACACGAACTTTTTAGATTTTTTTATGGATTTGTGTGTTCAAACATCTAAGATATTATTGATTTTGTGAAAACTCTAACGGTTGTCAGTAAAGTTAGAGAGACAGTGAAAGAATTTGAAACAATGCTATGTTTTTTCCTCAATCAATGCAGAAATACGGATCAAAAGGTTAATGGTTTGAGTCATATGTTTCAATTGCTCACAAGGGGTTCACTCATTTCCAACAGTTCATTCGAAAGCCCTGTGAAGACGATGGAATCGGTTTCGATAGGCTTGAACTTGATAAGTGCTGATGGGACCAAATCCTCGTCGTCTAGTGTTCGAGGTTTCTGTCCGGCTGCTGGAAAAGATGGTATAACTCGCCGTTTGACCAGAATTGGATCTAACAACTCGAACTCCAAGGCTGGTTCTTTCAGTGATGAGCTGACAAACTGGAGATGATGAAGAACATAATCACTTCACATATTCTAGCAGGAAGAACAAACTAAGCATGCAGGCCTCCAAAGGTTAAACGATTTTAGCTCGATGCAAAACGAACATACGGATGCAATACAGGACATAAACGAAACCGGTACTGCTAATGTCCGGAAACAACAAGCTAGTTTTATGTTTTAAAATGGTCTCAACTTTCATTTTTAGATAACTGAAATGAAGAAAGTGATAGGAAGTAATGCATACAATTAGAAAACAGGACTAACTTTGTAGAGATTGCTAGTTGGTTCCCAAGGAGAGAAAACGGCTTGAAGAACGACTCTGTCGGGAAACTGGATGCGAATCATTGTTCTTCTGTACTTCCTCCGAGTTGCTTTTTCCTGCTTTTGCTTGTAAGATTTAGGGAGTAGTAATTGGGATTCTGCAATCTTTTTCTTTCTCAATTCTGCTTCTCTTTTCAACTCGTCAGCTGATAGGTTATAGAAAGAATCCGGTAGTTCAATTTTCGCTGCTACACTCTCAGGTACAGAGAAGAAGACCCTGATCTATAATCACATATTTTACAAATGAAATAGTGTCAAACTCGTGCATACTTAATGAACATCAACATGCAACAAGATGAACTAGGATGAACAATTGAAATGACAAGCAAGTTTACAGAAAACAAAAACAGAGAAACAAAACAATCGAACCGAAAGCAATATGATCAAGTTTCCTACAATTTACAAAGCATCATTATCGATTATCACAAACGAATGCTGATACTCTAGAAACGTCACAAGGTGAGTTCATACACATGGGACAGCATACAATTCATTGCTTGTATGACAAATCGGAACTTGTCGGTTTTGAAGGCAAAGGATTGGAGTTCGAAGAGTAAGATGACGACGATGATGATTGTGGAGGAATAGGCTTTGGTGAAGCGGTCTGAGCTTGGGAGGGACAGGTAGGGATCTGGTTAACAGGTCCAGATGAAGAAGAACTCAAGACTCGACCTTGGCCTTTGAAATTACCAGATGATGAAAATTGGTTGTTGACTTTCTTCACGAATCCACCCCATTTCTCTTTCATAGGCATCGTCTCCAAAAACTTAATGATAATGAAAACAATATCAATAACAGTGATGATACTGAAATTAACTAATAATATAGATCACGAAACGGAGATTACAAAAAAAGGTAGCAAATTAAATCAATTGGGGAGATTAGAAAATATAAAATTAAAGCAGTTAAAATAAATAGATAAATAAATAATAGTGTTTGTAGCAATGGGGTTTTACCTTTACCTCGGAAGATCAGAATAGAGTTCGGAGAACACATTGGTTTTCTTGTCGATAATCGATCTTAAAATTCTTAACCGTTGAGAATCGAGAGATGTCATTAGCAGTTGCAAGTTTGGAATTGTTAAAAATATTCCAACGACAAACACGCTGTTCAACAGCCTCCATTTTGCTGTTCTTAACCAATATCATTCCACCACGTACTTATACAAGGGCCCTACTTATTTTCCTGCCTCATTTGGTGATTGGTCCAGTCCTTTTTTTTTTATTAAATCTTGTTGTAAGTACAGAAAAATATTTTAATTTATATTAAATATTAGTTATGTACATAGTACATAAAAATAAAAATAAAACACAGCTTAAAATTGAAAAGTTGTCTAATCGAATTCGGTTTAGACTTCAAATCTTGAAGTTAATTGAGTTTCTAATCCCATGAACTAGCTTCTGCTAGTATATTGAAGTTAATTGCATACTTCTCGAACTAAACTTTACTATTCCGAAATTTTAAATTAAATGATTAATAGGTCCGTGTTAACTTTGAAGTTAAACGACGTAATCCTGCCTATTGTCTAATCTTGACTCCGTCCTCTTAGCCATAAATTTATGTAGAATGATCGAATCATATTTAAAAGAATAAAAATCTTAAAAGTTTTTGAATATATAAACGTATAACACTACCCATCTGAGTAAAATTTACAGTGAGGAAACAAATTCATATCAACTAAGCATCTAATCAAACTAGAGTTTGCCTAGCTCTTTTATGGTTACCCATTAGCCATAGACAAAGAAGTCATTGTACCCGAGAAATTCATGCCGAACTTTGCAGCATTATACAGGGTCTCTAGCGCATCTTGTGGGACCGATTGAAGTTCTTTCGACATCCACCCTTTAACGAACTAGTAGCACTAGTGACCGAATAAAGATTGTTTTTGCCCTTGTTTTCCAGCAGATGGGCTAACTAGAAACATCATTTTCGTTCCTTCATCGACGAGTCATTTCGTGGTTTGGGATTCAAACATTTTCTCTGATGGGAGGTAAAGCAAATATCATCCACATATATAAAGCGATTAACTATAGTTTACCAGAATAATGCAAGCATCCGGAAGGGATTTTTCTTCCTTCCTCAAAGTACCAAGTTCAACAAGAACCAGTAGCTTCAAAAGTCATCATGATTCATGACTGGACGATCATAAGGTGTAAGGTGATGTAGCAATTAGCAAAGTAGCTCAGAACTCAGGCAAGCAGAAAAGTTCACCCATAGACTAAAGTCTGAAGACAATGAGCTTACCGTAAAGACTTACATCTAACTCGGTGAAAGCTGAAAGGCACCATCTTCATTCAAAAATGAATAACCACAGGTAAGGCAATTGTCCTACCTGAAGAACATCTAGAATAAAAAGCTAAACAATACTAAATCCCAAATGATAATCAACTTGTTCTAATTGATATTGCAGGCCTAAATTTCAACTCCAGAAGCAGTTTTAAATATTGAAGCAATAGCAGAAACTTGAACCAAGCCTTTACTTTCTTTCTTAATCAAATCATAAATTAAAAAACAGAGATGCAATAATAACATCATATAATTTCTCGTAAGATAAACATTCCAAATCATCCAAGCATATCAGTGAGGAAATTCAAACAAAAGAACATTAAAACAAGGAAAAGAAAAAGAAAGTAGTCCGAATACAACAGAAACATTCGCATCACTATCTCAATCGCGATTCTTAAGCCTCTCGAGTCGCTGGTTCAACTGCTCGATCTTAACTACAAGGCTAGTGACAGAGTAAAGGAGCCAGTAAAAAATAAGAGCGGCGGCGATGAGAAGCGCGTTGCGTTGGCTCTTCATGATGGATTTCTGGTGACGGAGATATTCGGAAGGGGTACATGACTCGTCGTCACAGCTAGGTCGCGTCTCGTATTTCCAGTAAATATCCATGAGGAGGAAGAGGCAGAAAGGAACAACCGACATGAATGGCTTCAGGAGGTTACGTGTGACGGCAATTAAGCCCTTGCGGAGTCCGTCGAGTCCTGGAACTGTGAGGAGCAGCAACATGATGGCTTCGGCGCCGGCGGCGTAGCCTAGCACTACCCATTCTAGAGCCATTTTCGCGGGAAAATTGGAAAAAAAAAATTGTTGGATCTGATTTAGGTATTGATTTTCCTGCGCTGGGGGTGGGAGCTTTCAATGTGCTTTTCTTAGCGAGGAAGATGAAAGAAAATTAAGAACCGATTTATTTGTTTTATTTACTTTTTCTTCGAAGGTAACGAGGCACACATGGTATTGATGGTACACATGGCCGGTTAAGGAGGATTGGGCTTTTATCCATTTGGATTTTGGCCCGGTTTTATCCCAACATTACTTTTGTGGATTAATTATCAAACTTTTTCTATCTAACCCCTATGTTTTAAATTAATCTTTAAAATTTAATTTTTTTGTTGAATCCTCTTATATCACGTTATATATATATTGTAGTTAGAGGTATATATGGTAAATTATTCGACCTTGAAGAATTTAGTTTGATTTTATAGAGTTTTCTTTTTAATTTAAATTCGAAAATGTTGAGATAAATTTTATATAGGAGAATAAAGATTGAATTTAGAGTAGAAATTTCTAATCTAATCTAATTACTATAATGATCATATATATACATGGATGAACTCAAACAGGGCGGCTGAGGCGATCGCCCTTAAAATTTTCAAAGTTTTATATTTTTTTATATATTTTTGATTGATAATATGTATTCATCTTAAAATTTTTACAAATTTAACCCTTAACTATATATATCATTACTATAACTATTAAAAAAATAATCACTATAACGTTCCTCTGTTTAATCAAGTCCGAGTAACTGAAAGTGGGAATGGACTGATGATTGGACCCCCCCAGAGTTGGGCTGAGATTTTTTCCACATCCAATCCATTATATTGTCGGGGGGATGATTCAAAGACAATTTCATAAGAAGAAGAAAAGGCAGTAGAAGCAAATTAAGGTCAAAGTTGTAGTAAATGAGTACTCAAAACTTGTGAGGACTGAATTGGCTTATCAGAAAGTCTAACCAGCCACGTATCTACGCATGCACTTTCTTTTCTTCACGTCGGTGGTCAGCATCCCTATTTCTTTCCTTTTCATTAATAATTACATAAGAATTTGACATCTACTAGAACCTTCTCAGCTGAGTTGTCATAGGTGCCACGTTTACATTACATATAACTAACGCAAAGGAGATTCTTTGCGGCATTTTCACAAACACAACGAGTTCCAACTCACCCCCTTTGTTTAGGTTCAACACCTACTTTAGTTAACCGATTCAAATATTATTTATATGTAATCTCCTTCCTACCCAAAATATAATGAATTAAAAAAAGAGATTCTAGAGACCTGTTAATCATTGTCACTATTACTTTAGGAATGTATATTTTACTAAATTGACATTGTTCTATATTTTTAACAAGTGAAATTCTAATTATTTAAATAAAAATTATTTATATAAAAATTCATCAATAATATATTTAAATAAAAATTATTTATATAAAAAATTCATCGATAATATATTATTTTATTATTTAAATATATAATGTATTATTTTAATTTTAATTAATATTAAATTTTACATAATTTATTTAAAAAATATATTAAATTTTCACTTCAACATAATTTATATAAAAATACATCATGTTCAATTTAGGGATTTTTAACTTTCACTATGATATTGAATCGACTATGACGATGATTTCGTTGGGTAATATTTTCCACACAAAATAGTTTCCAAATTTCCCTTTCATTGGTGCCTTTAAATTTATTTGAAGTGAATGCAATAAATATTATACAAATTGGAATGTTATTTACATGCTAGGTCATGCATGCATAATGGAACGAATTTGTGTATACACTATACAAAGATTTCGAAAAGTATTTTACAAAATACATATTATAAAATATGAAGGTTAAACATACGGGGTGAAAATGTAACACATTGAACAAAATATTATAGAAAAGTTAAGAGAATTGGGAGAAGCACATCATAAGTTAACATTACAGCATGAAACTGCATAATGTGAGTCTGTACAATTATTTGATAACTACAAAGCCAACATATAATGGATTGATTGTCTGTTAGATATCTGCAAGTTCATGTACAAAAGTTACACTACAAACAAGATTATGTATACATAATACATTCATACTATGTTGGCTCTTGAATGATGGATAATTTTTCTGCTAATAATATTAGTTAATGAAGGCTACCAGAGTAAATATTATTGTACCTCCGTCCTCATCTACAGAATGTCTGAATCATTGGTGTTGCTGCCCTATCTACATGCAAATTTTCAGCATCTTCATAGACTCAAAAATTCTGATCCACAACAACAAATTGACTCATTCAAGGAATTGAATACAAATCATGAAAGGCTACAAACTACCAGTAGCGAGACCAAACTCTCCTAAAAACAACATTCCTATCACAATACAACTCATATAAACAAGTACGAAGTTCAAAGATTTGATTGAGTTGGTATACATAAACCCAAGCCCGTATGAAAAAACTTCTCGTTGGGTCTAACTATGTTCTATCCCTTACCTGCCTTCGTCTGTATTAATAATCAATAAGGATACGACATCTAATAAAAATAATACCTTTATTAAGATAAGTGAATGCTATTACTAGAAATAACAGACTAACATATTTCAGTACATCACGTTTATTATCATGGGACTAAACTGAGAAGAACACTAAGGAAATAAATTAATGGGTGCAAGGGGGAAGGTTTACCTGCCAAAATGAACAAATAATCTAAT